TAAATAGTTATCTACTTTTAAAAATATTTGTATTCCTCAACACATGCAAAAGGCAATTGTGATATGTAAATACAGCCCAGAGTGATTTTATGTTCAAACGGGTAAATTATAAAAACTAATTAATAGGATAAACCATGTATTCAAGAAAAAATGGTAATATTAAGCATTTAAATATTCTTACAGCAAAAGTTATTACAATGACTAGAATAACCAATAACACTTATATTTTTTATGTATATAAAACTATAACATATTTTATTTTATAATATTTTCAATAATTGCTTGACACTTTAAAATGTAACAGCTATTATCAAAAACATGGCTGATCAAAAAAAAAAATTACTATAAACATAAAAAGTAACGTACGACACACCTAGTTTGAAAATAAATGTAGTTTTAGTTTTCTATTAAACTCTAAGCCTTATTACATTTTTTTTGTTTTAATGTCTTCAGTAAATATACCTACGCTATACAGTACTACATATCTCGAAAATTCAAAAATATAAAATATTACCTACATAACATTTTGTTTTTAGCAGGTTTTTTACTGACCTAAAGTTAAATACACATATAATTTATTAGTTTAATTGATATTGCCTACAAATTAAACTACACTATTTATCATTTAAGTAAACTAAATCACTTAGTTTGGAAGTTGAAAGATAAATTATTAGTTTAAAACTGTTTAACAAAAATACCTAGGAAATAAAATGATGAACCAACAAAATAAAAATAAATAGTCACTCGATGATTGATCGAGTTGACTTTACGTATGATGATAGCCATTGATGGGTTGTTACTTTTTATAAAAGGCCAAAAACATTCAATACTTCGAAGCATGCGTTCTAAATATTATATTTATGTCAAATTGAACGGTGCCTATTTTATAAGATAAAAAATAATACAGTAATTCTATTAAAAATATCATGTTCAATATAAACGAACAAAAACCGAATACCTCGTTTAAAACATATAAGTAGCCGTAAAGAAAAAAGAAAAATCACACAGAAAATAAGAATCATAATTCACGATCTAGGTGGATGAGTGCCAAATGCGCGTTGCCGACGATTTATGACACGACCGGCCGCCAGGGCCAAGGCACGCGCCAACACAGTAGCAGCCTGCTGCCCAGTCGACCGCTTGTTTTTTATTATTATTCGCCGCGGAGCACTGCTGACCCGTTTGCCGCGAATGCGCGCGCAGTATGCGTTTGCATACAATTGGATGACCACAAGGCCAATACTGCATGTCGTAGAAACGATAATAAAGAAAGGAATATAATATACAGCGTTGAGCGTAATGCATCTACATAATATTATGTAGGTCGTGTTATCTTGAAATGATAATTTTTTTTATCAATGTGCATGCAACTGATTAAAAAACGCATCATACGTAAGTACGAATGTACGATCAATAAGCACCACGTTCGTTCGCTTGAGGAAGGTCAAGGTTCGAACCTAGGAAGGGGAACTCTAAATCCCAACGTTATTATAGCTATTATTATAACTGTAACATGTGAAGTGTTCAGCGTCGTATTAAACTGTATGCATACATTAAAATACGTGCATAAAAAGTTGTTTGTTTTCGTGAGTAATTAATTTTAGTGGCAAAGCTACATCACGGCGTCCAGTGTAAGTATGTTTTATTTAGTCAACGTTTTTACTATATTTTATTATTTTAACATCATCAGTATCATGTTTACTGTGTGGTTGGTGTAAGTATGACTTCAATAATTCATTGAAGACTCATTATCACATCAACGCCAGCCGTACAGTGAATACATTTCATCCAAAGATAACCTTTGAGCCATTAAGGTACAAATCATCAGACTAAATTAAGAAGCATACTCTTCATTCTGCATGATACCTGAATCTTCAAAGTCCTAGACGGCTAAACGGTGTTCATTCAGGTTCAATATATTAAGTAGATACACGGTCATATATACCAACCTATCTTAAAATTGAAAGTGTTTTTAATTCTTAAAATATAGGAAAATAATTGTTTTCGTATATTACCGTAGGGGTAGCGTTACAAACAGATTACATAATATTGAAACTTACAACAAGCCATTAGTAATTATTATACGTACGGTATAAACTGAAATAGTTAATTAAAATTAATCAGACCTAATACATATTTTTGTTTTGTTATCAATACAATATGATATAGATTATATTATGCTATTATGTAGATGATACTTAAATCAAACGACCCTGTTTTTTTTTTAAATTAGAAAACTAATTTAGAAAACTAAACGATTTATGTTGTTATGCATCCAATTCCTCAACTATATTATAATATTAGTTATTTTATGAATTGAAACGATCACGACGTATATCTTAGTAAAAATCAATGTCGGAAATTAAAATTTAAAAATCAATTATTGCTTTCAGCCAAATAGTATAACATGAGTATCTATCAACTACACGCATGCATCTAAAACGTTATACAAAACCATCAACAAGACCACTCCCTATAGGTCGATTTTTTTTTTTTGAAGGGTGTTAGTTTGACCAAACTTTTTGCACGATAAACTTGCGGTATTGTGCAGAAAAAAGGGAAAAAATCGATTCTTCTAACAATAAAAACGTTATCTGGACAATCCTCTTTCCCCGCGTGAGCTGCTCTGCCATCATAATTACTGTGCACAACCATTCGATCGGGGTTATAAAAATATATAATACCTGGTCATTTTATGGACGCTATAAAATTAAAACTGTCAACAAGAATAGATGGGATGTTTTCGAATGAATTTTTAGAATTTACTACCGCCAAAAAGCGAATCTGTATAAAGTATAAATGCTTAGCTTAATGTTTCCAAACCCGTCAAAAAATCTAAACGGCCACGCCCGGATATCGTATATTCTTTCTAATGTTTTCATAATTGAAACTTTATTCAACAATAAAAAATTCGCTTGAAGTCTATTAAATATAAAATATACAATAGTTAACGAATCAAATAAACTACAGTATAAGCAACTGTATCAGCTTAAACTAATTAATTTTTAACTATGTGTCTATAACGACTAACAAGTAACGACGTATTAAAGTTTCTTTTTAGTATTCAGAAATTAGAATCCATAAAGTATCTAAATATTTTAACAATGCAATACAAAAATATTGCAATAAAAAAGTGTATTCAAGTGAAAAATATATGTTTATTTTCAAAATGTAATAAGATTTAAGTTCCTGAACTGACTTCAAAAATAGTTAGGCAAACAAATAAATGGTATTTTTAAACATGTACAAGTAAAATATATTGTAGTATTATGATAATTTAATAACCTATAGGTACTTTAAGATCATATTTATTTGATAACTAGAAATTAAGAAGTAATCATAATTATTATAATATTTAAATGACATAATATTATATTTCAATATTTTATTGGCAATGTGGAAAAAAATTAATTTTATTATATATAGGGTAATCAATCTTAATTTATTTATAATCACTTTTAATTTGCCAAAAAAAAAAATAGTAATAACAATATCGTCACAGTGGCTAACAAACAACGCGATTCGTATTTCTGGTGCACTTCCAAATAATTAAAAATTTTAATTTAAAACTAATAACAAAATAAAAATAAATATTAAAGGCTCGGTAAGCTATATAACACAAGTATACATATATATATTATATATATATATATAGCTTTATAACCTACCTACTAATATTTACCAACAAATGCAATAATGTATACACTATATTCTTATAGAAAACCCTATGTCAAAAGATATTTCCTATGTGAATACCAATATGTAACTATTTGTTATAAACTGTCATACATTTGTATATTTTAATTAATATCCAACGCATCAATTCGCGTTAAAACTCATTTTACACTTATATAACATAACATAATATACAATGGTATAAATGATTGAGCATTAATCATCTGTAAAATGATTGTTTTAATCGTGGTATATTAATCATGATATATTTATTATTTATTTTATAATTCATTTGAAAACATATTTGTTTGTTAGTAAGTCATCACTCATCGATGGAAAAAAAATCACACCAAACTTATGGTAGGTACCTAGGTACTTCTAATAAAAGTAGTTCAACAAATACTGATTATTTATTATTTATGAAAGGCTGATCGAACAATACAAAAGTCTCAATACTTGTATAATCACTACGGGGTTTATCATATTAGAAGACCGATGACCCCGTTTAATATTTCCTCCACTCTTTTCATGCCAGTACTCATAATAATAGTTATCGTCTTAGCGAAAGTTTTTCCGCGTAGGTAACTATAAACGAACATTATTTGCCAGCTTCTTATCTGAGATTAGAAGTTTTTTAATATGCCTTTTAGTTATTTTTAATTTAATGTTTGTTTTTAAGGATTAACTATTTCTAGTTATTTCAGATATACTAAATAATCTAATAAAGAACCTACATAATATGCATAAATATTAAATAATATATGTAAGAAACCGTAACACATATTTTACATACAATCAAAAATTTAACAAAACTACTAGAAACCATCATACCATCATATACCTACTTCATTTAAATCATAAAATTTATGTGTTATACTACCTTATAGAGTTGATATATTATTAGTTTAAAATATACTTGCATATATTTATATTTTATTATTATATTATAACTATTCATAAATAAATCACATGTAATTTTTATTTATCCAATATAATTTACAGAAAGAGTGTTCGTAGCTATGTATGAGTTAATTCAATTTGTTCTCCTCTTACTCGAATCGTTTTTTGATAATGTGTAGTATAATTATAAACACGAGGTACTTAAAGCCAAAAATAACAATGATGATATAGAAAAACAGAAAGAGATAGGCGGGCAGGAAAAGAAGATAGTATGTTCATAACAACCGAGAGAGTATTTGGCCCTTTGCCTCTTGAAATGAGCAATAAATAGTATATGGCTTATGACCGACTTTAGATATAGTTTGAATTTGCTGTATCATTTGCTTATTATCTATCGAGGATAATAAAAAATACAAATGTCTTACCTGTTTTTCTCCAGTTCATTATGAGTTGTTCTGTAACAAAAACAAACAATAAATTAACTAATAAATATAATACTAGCACATCAACATTTACGTAATGTTTTACCCTTAATTTTTTGTAAAAACACCATTGTTTGGCTTTAAGCCAAAACCTCAAAATGACATGCTCAATAACTGGGCCACATGCATATAGTTATTTAAAAATGTAATACATGAAAAAACAATATATATATATATATTACATAGGTTACCTATACAGAGTTAATCAAAATTAAATAGATTACAAGATGATCAATAAACAATGAAACAATAACATATTTTGTGATAATAAACCATAATATTCGAAAATATGTAAACAGTAGTGGGTGAACCTTATGTCTAGTTAGCTATATAGCTTATTAGTAATTTATGAAGTTCAAAGAACTCAATGTGTTCAATGTTTATATTAGTAACAAAAACAGGAAAATTAATAAAAAATTATATCAATCCTAGAAAATGGTAAAATAAATCGAAAAGCCTGGTATTTAAGATTATTATTTTTACTAATTACAAAAATTACAATGAGATGATGTGAAAAATAAATAGGACTTATCAAAACTGGATTTTAGTTCATTTTAAATTTCAGTTTTTTTTATATTTTTTTGATGTGTACATTTTTTGTTAAGAAACCGTTATTGGACCAATAACTACTCTCCACTCAATAACTTATTTATAGCAACACATAATAATAGGTAATTATTCTTTATAAATCATTGTTTCAAATCTTTGGAAGTTTATAAAAAAATTGTGAAAATTAAAATTTTTGCTTTAATAGTCTATAATCATTAAAATGTTTAGTTAGCACTATTTTTAAAAAGTATAAAATCTTAGATTAAATTTCTTCACAATAAAATGATAAAATGTCAATCTAGTAACCGATATTGTAGGTAAATGTTAGATTTGAAATGAACTGTAAAATGTATGTTAGGTATATACGATTATTTGTTATAGGTATGTACAATTAATTGTAAACATTTGAATATAATTTTCATAACATCCAATTGTTAATATAAATATCCACAATATTTTAAAGTTTACTCACAATACTAAGCTACTGAAAATCGTTAAGCCGAGAATTTTTATTTTAAAAATGTCGAAAAAGCAAGCACCTACTTAGTTACATTTATATTCTTAATCGAGTGTGTAAATAAAAATAACTCAGAAAATAACTTATTTTTATGAAACGTTGTAAAATGTACACAAAAACTGCTTTACAAAACGAGTTGATTACCAATTATTAATGCTACTATATCTAAAATACACACCTATACTGAATTAGTCTATCTTTAATGATTTTAAAAGATAAGGTGGTAGGGATTTTGCTCTGACAAAACCCTAAACACAACGTAATCGGCCGCTAACATTTGGTAACGACAAAGAGGTCAAGGGCAATAAGGTATTTTATCATTTATTGTATAGATTTAAACATAACGCTCCTAGTCGATATTTTGTTCTGTTATTTATTACACGAAACACATAAAGTAGACATAAACAGTAGTACCTACAGCTATTTCTTTTTAAGAAAACCTCAAAATGAAACTAAAGGTTTAACTGTTTTATATACCACTGCATAGTGTAAAAATAAAGAAAAAGTTTCTTGTAAAAACTTCAATTATTTCAATAGAAACTTTTTGTTACATTTGTAATTAAAAATTAAAATACCTACTACCCAATATAAACCTATAATATGATTGAAAAACAAAACTTTCATAAATACATTTCAGATTTCATTCTATCACTATACCTAGATATAAGAAAATATGTATAGGAAAAAACCTGATAAAATATTTTATACTACGGGGTTGAAAAACTACGGAACACACCCTCAGCCGTATCAGCAAAGTGTAAACACCACGGAGGAGTGTACATACATGTGATAGCAATTTCCTTTCCGGAAGCCTTTGTCTGGTGTAAGTTATCAACTATAAGAGATGCTTTAGGGTAGGGATGGAGAAGATAAAATAAGTAGATCTTCATAATTACGAAGAAAAGTTTAGCGAAATGAGATGGTAGAGCAAGAAAGAAAAACACAAACATCAGCTTAAAAGAAAATGTGATAGTGTCATATTAGACTTCATATTTTTTTTTCAAAAATATATTCTTCTCTTTAAATGAAGAAAGAAAACTAAAATTAGTTTCAACCATTAAAATAATTAAATAGAGAAATTAAGTAAATGGACTAAAAACTTGGAGTAAAAAGTTTACACTTGGTGATAATTCTTTTTCTCATTTTATGATAATAAATCTGTAAAAATTAAGTAGGCACAATCACAAAAAAACAAAAAAATCTATATTTTTATTTCATAATCTTTATGAATCTCTAGGTATATATATATAAATATTTGAACAAATACAATTATAAGTGTCACATAAACTAATTATAGTTTATTATTTATTAACATTTAAAGTTTATAAAAGGATAATAATTATGAGTAGGTATTGAAATGTATAAATAAGTAATTTTCTTAATAGGGGAGCTAAATTTTTTACCCAGAACACAATAAAAAATATCATAAATAAAAATGTATTAACTGTAGTTAATAAAATGTTTATAGTATTTATTACCTATAAAATCCAATTTTGATAAATAATTAATTAAAAATAAATTTTAGAATACCATTATGACTTCGATAATATTGATTAAAATGTTAAAACAATTTTAACGCAACATTATATCAAATATCGACATAATATCGTCATAGTATTATGATTTATAATCCAATTCAACAAAAAAAAACCTCAAAAAAATTGTATTCAAAAGTAATGATAAAGGTATAAAATCATATACTAATATTTTCTGTCAAAACGATTTACACATAAATATACTATACAAAGTACTCGTAAGTGATTGAATGGAAACATCAAAATTAATATATGTACAAGAGTTGGGTAGAATGAGAGAACGCTGGAGTAAACAAAAGAAAATTATAAAATTAAAGTATTAAAAATCTGAATGCTCGCAGTATTCTCTATAACTAGTGTGTAGGTAGCCGAACGAGGTGCCGAAGTATTTGCAAAATGACCTAACCTATCTTTTTTCTGTTTGTGCTCTTTATCTAACTTAAAATGTATAATGTCAGGTCGAGTAATAGATAGACATATTATTGTGTTTATCTATACTGTATCAAGACTTTTTATTGTCTCTGTCTTCTACTAGCTAATTGTTGTAGAATGAAAGAAAACATAGACAAATCCACAACAATTTTAAATTGTTTACTCTGTTTGGAATATGTTTGTAGTAGGTATAATAATTCCGGTGATAGTGAAAATATTCTCTGCACCTAAACTGCAAATATTCATATAAGTACCGAGGTATAATGCATACTACGTATTATGAGGTACATTATTATTATATATTATTGAGTCATGTGACTCGCATGGGTTTGCATCGACGATAACTAACTGTAACGGAACACTACGAGCTTCGAAGTAAAGTTATGTATTCCACTAAAGTTATCCGGCGGTAGTGGCGGCGGGGGAGAGGGATGGAATTGGTAGCGTTGTCACCCAGGCGAGCGTGCTGGCTCTATTAACCTTGACATTTAAAAGGTCACGTCACTACTTTTTCTACCCGTTTTGCCACTGCGCACAGCGATGTTCTATCCCTAACCTCCGTGTGTTATGCTACATGTCATATATTTTCTTTACATTTTCTCATGAATACCGTTTTCGTACACATTTTTCTTTTAACATTATAAACAATACACCGTATAAGGGAGCACACCATTCGCAACGCCGGGGATGTTAAGCCCGCGTTTTGAAAGGCGCGAAGTCAACACAAAAAGCTACCACTCACCGGCTTCCCTGCGACTTCTTCATCTTTGGCCTCTTCGAAGACCCTTTGAGATCGATCGTGATCGGCATCGGCGAAGCATATCCGTGTTCCGCTTCTGCAAAAAATACGACGGTGTTTACGCGGTCGGCGGTGGCGGCTCCGTCGGTCGAGGCTGCGGTGTCGGCGAACGGCGGCGGGGGGTACGGTGGCGACGCGGTAAACTTACCTCTTTCGCGCCTTTCCAGGTACTCGGCGGCTTGTAATAACGCAGCGATGCTCATATTCGACGGCGGCAAGATCAACACACACACAACCGCGGTAAGTTTACAATCAACACACACGCGTACCTACGCCCACGCACACTGCACAATCGGTCTAATAATGCGATTTTATAATATTATGCCTCTCTCTAGAATGCGCGTGTTCGCCTATATCTGTACGGAAACAAATTTACCGTGACGATAGATTCTATCGCGAGAGCTTTATTCGTCCCGGATTCGCGTAGGTATATTGCGGCGGTGGCGGCTGTCACACTGGTCGAAGATTTATAATCCTTTTTCGTATTAATAATTAATCTAATATTCTGGTATAATTTATTATCGAATTCTGGTAGGCAAATCGCGTGTGCTGAAATTAGTATAGGTAATACGATTATTATTATTATTATTATTATTATTATTATTATTATGCTGTGAATCAATATTTCGAGGACCAAATCGAAACCGGACGGGAACTTGTGTTGTTATATTCTTCCAGTGTCCCCCGGGGACGAAATGACAAGCACTATAGATCACGGACGCACGCGGCAACACAAACACACACGCACACAATTATACACACACACACACACACACACACACACACACACGAACACACGGGCGAACTCCACAGAGACGCGGGCCACTAAACGGTGGTGCGAGGGTAGAATGCGGCGGATGTAGTACGCACAACACTGAGATGGTCGGAGAAATAGAAAATAAACTTTTAATTCGGAAAAAACGCACGACACTCTAATGACAACAGCGTCGGTGGTGGCGACCGCGACGATGACGGCAATGACAATAACAACAACAACAATAATATGTAGCTCGACGGCTGCGGCAGCGGCGGCAGGCAGCGGCGGTACGTCGATACCAAGACTGTGTTCGCGACTGTGGCCAACGGGTTATTGACGTGTACCGCGGCCGTTGTGTGCCAGCGAGCCCACGACGGCGCTCGAACAAAACCGAATGGATCGAGGTGGCGGCGCGCCGGGGGGATCACGTGAAACGCACGCCGCGTACGCGCCAACAGCTGACCGTGGCCGCCGCTTTATGCGACGTGTACCGCCGCGCAACGCGTCGCCATCGCCATCTATCCGCCACTCCCGTACCGTCGCGTCGTCGAAGTCTATAGTGACAAAATATTTTATAGTAACCGAAATATCTAAACCAACTTCGTACACACTTTCATACAAAACGCAATAGGTAATTGACAATCGTGCTGCACCTACCAAGCTTGCGAATCGCACGACACGACAGCCATACAAATACGTAGTAGGTACCTATATAGTATATTACACATACTTAGTGCTAAGCATATGCCTACATAATCCCTCGTACAGTTATTTTGCCTACCTAAAATAGTTTAACAGTATCTGCTTAAAACTAAGCTCAAACGAAAGTGCAGTTAATAAACGTCACGTTTGATACTCTGAATTGTAAATTTATTTGTTGGATTCCGAGCATGTTTATGAATAATATGTGTTTCAGGACGTTAAGGCCTTAGGGGCTAAACCACAACTAGTAAATTATATACCTACCAATGGCCATTAGGATTTAGGGCCCTAACAGTTTTAAGGTGTTTCATGGTGTATTATAGTTATAACGACTTAAAATAGCTGAATTTAATACTTTATATAGGGCCCTCCGTTCTTACGCAACCTCTCTGGGTCCATTATAGATACTGCCTAAAAAATACATTAAACGTGATACAAAATGACGTGTAAGGTACTTCACGAATTCGACATAATATAACTACAGCAATTTTCAGATTATTTTCGAATATTATAACATTTTATTATAAGTCGTATTTTAAAGCCTAAATTTGGCAATGATTATGCATAACGTGATCTCATGCAACTGTGCAAGGCATACAGTCACCGCATATTACAATATTTTGTAGTATGTGCAATCAACCTATAACTCTGAGACCGAGATACCCAATAATTCATCTTATACATTCTAATATTCTATTATAAGTCGTATGAACGCATCGATCGTGACTAGTTGCTAATACGAGTGGGAGGGAGCGATATGGCGATAGTCACCCCCCTCCCCTTGGACAGTGTCTTATGCGTGATTCTAATATTCTATAATTGTTTACTATAATTGCAATATTATTGTAAGCTATACACATGTTTTCCAGCTATAGAATTTCACCTAATGTAAATCCCTCATAAATATAATAGTATATATACTAGTTGTATAACTCGGCGTTGCCCGGGGATAAATGTAACCGAAATGGTCAATCCATCTGGGGTGGATAGTAGTGATATTATGTGAACCATTTGTAAGCAGAAAGAACTAATTTGTGCTTATGATTTTAATATATTATCAATGGCGGGTAATCCACATTACATAAGAATTGGTTAAATCTATTACCTATATCTAAATACTAAATCTTCCTTGAATCTTCAAAATCGGTCAAGTATTTTTTGTCTCTATTGGCTTGGCATTACACTTTGCCTTTTATATATAAAATATCCATTACATTATCTAATATGTCTAACTTCTATTCGAATACTATTAAATGACCAGTCAGTTATCCTAAATAATATGAGTACAAAATTTGTTTCAAATTGGTCAAAAACTGTGAACTTGCATAATATGTGTCACATATAGATACAACCCGATTAATAATATTTATATTTGCAGAATATCTATTATAATATATCTATCTATAGTTTTCGTTTTGCTTCAGTTGAAATATTCTCGATTGTTTTTTTGTCAAAATCGGTCGATGATTTCAAGCTTTGCCTAAATATAATATACATAATTATATAATAGCCACAGTTACTACATTTTATATTTATATATAGGTAGATTACTTTTATTATACTAATTGACAAAATAAATACAATACAAAAAATTGTGTCCAAACATAATTAACAATGTTGTATTTTAATATTAAATCAGCTGCAACCCAATATACAAATTAAAAAATATTCGATTTTCGTGTACTGAAACAAAATGTATGTGTAAGCTGCCCTATAGCGACCTATATGAAAAATCCAATAGCTCTGCTAGTTGCTACTATTCATCAGATTAGGTTAAATAAATAGTTATTTATTAAATAATAGGTTAGTAAATATATATACCATAGAGGATAGTGACGAAGTTGAATCAACTTTTTATACTGCTGAATAATATATTAAAGATTTGTTATATTAAAATATTCATCTATTTAGTATTTAATCAACTGACATTCCAAATGTAAGCTTAAATATAAGCGTAAATTGATTTAACACCCGCCTCGTAATTTTTACTTACGTACATATATTCATAATATATTATGTATAGGTATAATTGGTAAGGTTAATTATATTATATAGAATGACAACATTAATAAGTGTTAAGGTATTTATCATTTTACACCTGATGCACCGAAAACCATGTTGTAGTTTCGATTATTGTACGACGCAAAAACATTATATGTACCGTTCCTATAGTATTCTATACACCCACACGACGAGTTCAGATCACTCAATAAACTTACATATGCGGCGTGAAACGTACGGTCATCATTCGAAGGAAAAACTTACATAAATCCGTCCAATAATTTACACTTGACGCACTCGGTTCACAAGAACAAAAAAATGTGGAAACGTGACAAGGGCGATACAACACGACGCCATGGACGGAAAAGCTCTACGCAACTGTTTGTCACGGTCGTTCATAACGGTTTATGTCAGTTTTGAGACAAGAAAAAATAAAACTGTATGCAGTTCACGAGTTTTCCATAATAATATGGACGGCTAATATCCGTTTTTTTTCCCCATTCGATGTATTTGTACCGTGGTTATTCCTATTAGCCTAGTCCTATCTGCTATTGTATTATCATTATAATATTATATTAGTATATATTATTATTAATATATTGTGTATATTGTAATTTGTGTGTAATATCGGACCACTATAATAGTTTGTCTATATTAAAAAAGCCAGAAATTAGAAAATTCGTTGTTCGGCTTATGACGGAGGACGGACGTTGATCGTTAATTTTAGTCTTCATGTACTATACAGTATACTTACCTTTATCTATTAGATAAGTAACACCAACATGTTTATTTTCATTTTACTAACAATTTAAATGGTTTCGTTATCATTCATTTTCAACCATTTAGCTGTCTGTAATATTATTTTGTTTACAAAACCGTATATAATAATGCTTTTTTAGCGAAATTGATTCTAGTAATTTTTCTACTACTAACAAAATATGATAATTCTAGACTTTTGAAATGTTCTCAAATTGTGTATCTATTTCAATACTATATGTAGAATAAAACCATTTTTAACAATATTTAACCACTTTTATATAAAAAATATCATTTTTAAATTTAATTTTATTTGAATCGAAAATCGAAAATAATAAGTATTATGTAAACACTAAACAGAAATATGCTCATGATTCTGGACCGTTATTATTTTGTTGTTTATATGGACTAGATAGACTAGAGAAGGCTTTTACTCTCATTTGAAGCTGTGGTTTTGTCTTAAGAAAATTGTAATTTTATTTTTCACTTTAAAAGGATTTAAGTATTTTTTCTCATTTTAGATTCTGAGTAAACAGAATATATAACAGACTTTATACAAAATGTATCAACAAAAAACGTATCACACATAAATAACTAAATAAAGTTTCCTTTATTTAGCTTAAAGCTTAACTTAGCCTAACCTCAGCTCAGAATTTAAATAAACTATGAGAATTAATCGAAGTGAAATGAATGGCCAATATATATTTAGATACTGTAAATCATTGACTCTTTTATAACTTAAATCATAAAAAAATCACATAAATAACAAAGCTGACCATTTTACTGCTGAAATAAATTAAATATAATTTGTAAGTTTGTTGTACTAAAAAAAAGACAGTACAATTATTGTTATAATATTGATCGATGATACCATTTTTTCAAACTCAATTCCGTATTAGCTTAACTTGTAATGAATTCCTTTAATTTGTTAAACCGTATTCATTACTTATTTACTTACGTATACCTAAAGTCGGACACTATTATCAATATTTAATCTATTTACCCTCAAAATAAATTAATAACAATTTATTAGGTATGATAGGTACACGATCAAAATCAAATAAATTGAACATACAAAGGTATTTTTATATTTTTTTGTATAGTTTGATATTTGAAAACAAAAACAAAGATTCTTTTCGTAACTCAGACTCCACAAGAAAATAATAATTCAAAACCGACTAAGGTCTTAAAGTTTACTATAAAGCTTATTTTCTTTATCATTTTTACTTACTATTTTTTCATCGCCAAACAGCGTTAAACCTTATTTTTGTAATTTTTGAAAGACAACAAATTTTGTATGTGTATTTTTTGTAGACTTACTACAGTAAGATCATCATAGTTTCTAGTGTTAGAGCTTCTAAAATAAATATAAAATACTTTTTAATTTTATCTTAAACCGACACAGATAAATTATTGAAAATTGAATTGTTGTTAAAGACTTGTTAAGTGTAATTTTCTAATTTATTATTACAATGTCTTAAAACATATAATAATTATTGAAATTGATAAAATACCTAAATGAAATAGAATACAACACATGTTCAAAAACACACAGTTTATAAATATATAAAATTGACACTTTCGTGTTTTTTTTCAATTAATACTTATATAGCAATAATTAATGTCTAATAGAATAATAGCATATAGAATATATCAAGTGTTAATTAAAATAAATATTAGGTACTAAGTAGGTATTTACTATTTTTGCACAATTAATGAAATGGCAAAATCATATCGAAACATATTATGGAATTTATTGTTTTTAAAACTTTTTTAAAAATATTTTAATACATTTTTAATTTCTTAAATTTATTTTATTATAATACGTAGGTACTTAACATATGTTATATTAGTATTAGAGTTCAAAAAATTACACAT